AATACCTTCATCCTGTTTTGAATTTGCCCTGTTGGCAAAACCCGGCATGATGCTGAATGGCTGTGTTAGTTTGGCCTTCACGTGGTTTTGCATTCCCAACGTTCGTTTCAGCTCTGGGCGGCTCTTTCCCCCTGTGCTAACCTTCAGTCTGCAGACCTTTTCTGGGAGGGAGGCTGGCTCAGGCAGTGGGCTGAAACTTGCAGAAAATGCAAATGCAAGATCCACATGCCTTCTCCTGTGATTACATTATGATAACATGCTGTGTCTTATTTCCTGTTGCAAGCCAAATGGTGAGGCCACATGGCCTCAATACCCATGCCATAAACCCACATTCTTTCACACCTTCATGCTAAAAGCCAGACCTCATGGCTCCACTTCCTGGCCCACATGCGACAAGTCATGTACACAATGAAGTAGCTGGAGTTTGGGGTCACATGACTGCAGGCGGGGTCTCCAAACTCCTAGCCAATCTATACACACACCTTATGTGCAGCTATAGCAACCTGAAATTGGCCACACACCCCTGCTGCTCGTGATTTGCCGAATGGCCATGGCTAATCATTATTAGATTGGGGTATAATTGTTTGATCCCTATGGGAGTGACTTCTTCTTGTTCTCGAGTCTCTTGTTCTATTAGCTCTGAGGCTCTTGCTGCCTGTTTTATTGCACCTGAAATGCTGTCTCTTGGAAAACAAAGACCTGCTTTGTGACTTGGAGCACATGGGTGTGCAAAGATGGGATTTCCCTTCAAAATCCCTTGGACTATTCTGGACTGTTGGATGTTCCTGAATTGGTAACTATGTATCTTTAATGTGTAGTTAAGGCAAATTGCCCTATCCTTTGTTATTTTGTAATCTCCTAGTCTGTTTGCTGTGCTCTGTACTGAATAAAGATCCATCTTATTTCTAATGGTCTCTGATGTTGTAACTTGAATTCCAAGTCTAAGTCTTGTGCCTAACCCTGACCACATAAGCTACCTTGGTAAGAGTAAAAGTGTGCATCTCTGGATTGAGTTGCTAATGTGTTCTGTCCCAGATGCCAACTAAGGCTTTGGAATCTCTTCCCTTAGGAAAAGCAGGGACTAGTGAAAAGAGGTTCTGGTGGCAAATTGTCTAGAAACCAGAGAGGGTATAGACCAGCTCGTGGTTTGTTGTTTAATGTACTGAAAAGTACAGGATTCCCTCTCATGCCTGGACTGGCCTGGGTGGGCTAATCCTGTACACTGAACGGCTGTGTTAGTTTGGCCTTCACGTGGTTTTGCATTCCCAACGTTCGTTTCAGCTCTGGGCGGCTCTTTCCCCCTGTGCTAACCTTCAGTCCGCCGCCCTTTTCTGGGAGGGAGGCTGGCTCAGGCGGTGGGCTGAAACTTGCAGACAATGCAAATGCAAGGAGCACCTGTCTGACTTTTTCATCCGCTTGGCAGTACCCTCGCTGTCAGGTGCTGGGGAGCATGGCAAGTGGCATGTTGGGTGACGACAGGGCACCACTGTACCCGCTTGGTGTCTCTAAATGCCAGCCAATTCCATTTTCCTTGGCAAGGTTCGTTCGTTCTCTCTCTCTCTCTCTCTCACACACACACACACACACACACACACACACACACACATAGAGTTTGCATACATTCATCAAGGTCAAAGTTTGAGTCCAGTGGCACCTTTGGGACCAACAAAGGTTAATTCTGGGCATAAGCTTTCGTGTTCATGCGCACTTCTTCAGATATCAAGGTCATTGCCCTGACGGTACCAGGAGACTCAGCTGCTGGTAGGAAAGAGGCCAGAGCCAAAAAGTTTGATCAGCGTCCCTGAGTCCCGGATACAGAGGTTGAGGCTAGCAGTCATTTCTTAAATAAGCATCAAAACATCTGAGCTAGAAGCCTTTCGAACTCTTCTAGATACGTTGTGTGAGAGAGAGACCTAGTTGTAGCTACCGTGCGGAAACAGAATGGTACTCTGTGCATGCTCGATTGTACTCTTTAACTAAGAACATGAAAAGACAGGAAGAGCCCTTCTGGATTAGGCCACAGGGCTATTGAGCCCAGCTTCCTGTTTTTTTACAGGGGCCAACCAGTAGCCCCACTACGGGTTAGGGATGCCGGCCATTTTCTCCAAGGGGAATTGATCCTTGTAGTCCGGAGAGCTGTTGTAATCCCAGGAGATCTCCAGGCCCCACCTGGAGGCTGGCAACCCTAGCTCAGAGCTCTCTCTTATTTATCGTGATTTGAGTCCAGTAGCACCAACAGATTTTCCCAGGATGTAAGCTTTTGAGAGCCAGGGCTCTGAGAAAGGAGCGCTGACTCTAGGGTTGCCAGGTCTGGGTTGGAAAATACCTGGAGACTTTGGGGGTGGAGCCAGGAGAGGGCGGGGTTTGGGGAGGGGAGGGGCCTCAGCCTGGTCCAATGCCATAGAGTCCACCCTTCAGAGCAGCCATTTTCTCCAGGGGAGCTGATCTCTGTCGGCTGGGGATCAGTTGTCAAAGCGGGAGATCCCCAGGCCCCACCTGGAGGCTGGCATCCCTAGCTGACTCTCAAAATCTTATACCCTGGGAAATCTTGTGGGTCTTTAAGGTGCCGCTGGACTCCAGTCTACGGCAGGCCAACAGGGTATTGCTGTGGGTGAGAAGCTGTGTAAGGTTAGGAGGCTGGCTGTGGACAAGAAAAGGTTTGCCTCCCGATGGCAGGCTGTTCCTGAAAGTGTAATCAAGAAATAAGAGCATTCTTACGGCAGACTGTCTGTCCCCCACATCTTCCTCCTTGCATCTCTTCCTGGGATTTCTAGTGTTGTTCTCAACAGCATTACCCCCTTTGGAAGCTTAGCTCACTGACTTCAGTGGATTCAGATGGGGAATGAACAGACGTGGGAAAACGCACAGGCAAGCCAGGGCTAGTTAGTGCTTCCCCTTGGAACTTGTTCTTAGACTTTATCTCCCATTGCTGGCTGCAGTTTCCGATACTTGGCTCCCTCTCTCTCTCCCCCTCCCTCTCTCTCACTGTCTCCTTTGCCAAGGTCTGGTCACAAGGAGCATTGCGGCCTTCTCTTTCTCTAAGGCAGCTATATTTTATCCACCCTCATTTCCCTGCTGTGCAAAGTGGGACTCTGATCTCCCCTCACTGCTAGGAGAAGATAGATCCAGGTAGTCAGCCGTGTCGGGCTGAAGCAGAGTTAAGAGTCCAGTTGGGCACCTTGAAGACCAACAAAGGTTTATTCAAGGTATGAGCTTTCATGTGCAAGGCACACTTTTTCAAGTGGACTCTAGCTTTGTTCTACGGCTAGGAGATGAGAAAGCAAAAGCCGCAGTTTCTGGAGATCTTATCAGCTACCATGATTTGCTGCTTGGTTCTCAAGCTTGCCAAGAGAAACTGGTCATTCAGAGCAAGACTGTTGGTTTTTTAAAAAAATCTGCACACTTCAAGGTAGAGTCATAGCATTGCCAACATTTTCCCCGATGGTGCTCCTGTGCTTTAAACGCTGCACCGTCCATGGAAATTCAATGGGTAAAGCTTGTTGCCTTTGTACAGATGCAGTGATAGGACAAAGCTGTTCCTGAGAGAGGAGCCTGTAATAAGTCATGACTGGGGTTTTATCTGGAGTTTGCTCACAGTGGCCAAAAATAAAGCAGTGGTTGCTTTATGGAATGGCCGGCCTGTCATAGGGTTACCAGAAGAATGGAGAGAAATATCTTGTGCCTAAAATAGGAGCGGGGCCAGGAAATAAGCTGGCAACCGTCAGTAGAGGAAGAGAGTGGGAACTGCAAAAGACATTCTATTAGGGTGCAGGAGGGGGGAAGTCTTGGATTCAAATCTACCCTCTGCTGTAAAGCTCAGTGGAGGATCTTGAGCTGACCATTCTCTCCCTGTTTAACCACAGGGCTGGCTCAGTACTTAGCCATAGAAGGCTGAGGCTGAATCAAGGACGTGGCACTTTTTGGTTGGCCTAATTTCCAATGGCTCTTACCTGGATAGCCCAGGCTAGCCCAATCTCATCGGATCTCGGAAGCTAAGCAAGGGGGGCCCTGGTCAGGATTTGGATGTGAGACCACCAAGGCGTACCAGGGTCATGATGCAGAGTCAAGCAATGGCCAACCAGCCCTGAACGTCTCTTGCCTTGAAACCCTAACCATAAGTCAGCTGCGACTTGATGGCAAAAAACCCAAATCAATCAAAGAACTTCCACTGGCCTAAGAGTTTGCGGACTCTCAAGAAACAGTCCCCTGTCAGTACAGTCGTAATAGCTCACCCACAAAGCAATTGAAATTATTTGCTGTAATAATGCCAGGTAGGGAGCATAAATCATTCACCCCTTCAAATGCCTATAAGAAAACCAGACACTTGCTGAAATGTCCCAAGAGTTCTTCCCAGGATAATTTTAATGTGGTAGCAAAGAAGGTTACACGTTTCGACTCTCTGCCAACACCACAATTAAAAGGACAAACGCCCTAATGTCGAAAGGTTGCCCGTCACTACCGTAGGCCGTGCATAATGACAAGAAGTCCCATTGGCTGGAATATGTACAAATATACGGGCGGTTCCTTCTAGGCCTTTCAAGTTCTTTGTAAGAACTTTAAATTTTGGACATTCCCTTCTCTTGCAAAAATCTAAATTTCCATCCATTTCTACCCATTGCTCCTGCCCCCTGCAGATAAGATGAATCATCTTCCCTTCAGTCTTCTTCTTACAAGTGCTCTTAGATAATTGGAAACCATCCACTCTGCGCTTCTCAGCTCCGAACCCTTGGCCTTTCACAGTTATGGGTACTCAGTTAGCTCTGAGTAGACTCCTGCATTCTAGGTGGAGTGGCTCAGCTAGCTACTGGGTGGGTTGTCTGGCTGGCCAGAATATCTCACAGGTTCAAGGTGAGTTACCAGCTGAGAAACAGAAAAGAAGGCAGGGTCCTCATTTCGGTGGCTCCCTTGTTCTATCAATGCCGGAACCAGGATCTTACGTCCAGAGTCTTCTCCATCTTCTGTCTGACCTCTTTGCTTGCTTTGCCAGTCTGTGTATGTTGGGGGGGGGGCAAGGACAGACAACTCCTACGATCCAGGATCCGCAAAAGTCCATTCCCTGCCTTTGAAGAAAGTGTGGCCTCTTTGCAAATCGTCCTCCAGCAGCCTGAAAGGAATCAGGTGGGATTGCACCGGACGCGCTTAGGTGCCGTGCTCTCCTTCTGCCATGATTTGCCGCCGGAAGTAGCGGATGGCCGAGAGGGTGCCAAAGTTTGCAAGCAGCACTGGGGGGGGGGAAGAGAGAGAGAGAGAGAGATGTACTCAGGGCACAGGCACCGAGCAAAGCAATACACATGGTTATATGATCCATAAGACCAGAGCCAGTCAAATCAGAATCACTATATCTAATAGCCAAGTTGCCCCCTCCGTGCGGATCGCTATATCCGCACTTCGGGGGCACTTGGGGGGCCGGGGGAGGTTTGTGTACACATGGGCCAGTCCCCACGTGTGCACAAAAATCTAAAAACTGGACAAAAATATCGGGGGGATACTTAAATCCCCCCAAAACTTACAGAACGTCCCCTGCGCATGCGCAGGGAACGCTCTGCTGCCGTCCTCGCCGCCGCCGCTTTGGAGCCGCTTTGGAGGGCGGCCATGCAGCCGGCCGGGACCCAGAGAGGCCTGGGCGGCTGCAAGCTGCCCGGCCTCGCTTCGGAGGG